TGTATGAAAAATCTACAATTTTTATCCGATTAACTTCAAACTTAGTTTGTATACTCTCACAAAGAATACAAGAAAAACTGTATACTTGGATTTTCAATATTTTTCCTGCCAAAGCATAATGTGAGACACTAATGTGTGAATGTTCATTTGTACACATGTACATATGTACATATATATGTACAAAAGTACATTCGTCTTGCACTGACAGGGAAAGAAATGTTAATTAATTAAAAATTATTAACATTATAACAAACATTTTGATGTTATTTTTTCTTTGTTTAGTACATTTGGCATAAGGGGTTTTTAGGACAACGGACTACAAGGGCGTACGCAGGTTGGGCAGGGGGGACATTGCTCCCTCTAGAAAGAATTTCGCATTATGAATTACACCAGCACCATATGTATTACATACGTACATACATATGTACATACGTCTGTATGTATAGTATGTACATATGTATGTACATCAATAAGTATGTATGTACGTTCATACATTCCTATATACATACATACATATATAGGTTTGTATGTATGCAGTGGGCCATCGAACACTGTTGTTTAATTGTAATAAATAGTGTTCTATGGTTTCAAATCAAAATTTTTAAAACAACAACAACAACAAGTTATTGGCTCGCAAATCTTCTTTCGTTTTGATAATTTACGGCTGTTAATTGCATACGCAAAATGCCAAAAGTTTACAGTTACCGTACACATACAAATACATTTGTATGTATGTATGTACATATGTGTACAGTGAAAAATCGAATACAGTATTATAATCAATAACTCTCAAACGATGTTTTTTCGATGTATTTGTATTCCACATGTATTACGATCTTTCAACACAAGTATCGATATTTTCGATATATCGCATTTAATTTTATTATTGGGGTTTTAATATTTATTCACTTTTTCAAATGAATAGTTTGTGTTATAAATTTTGTCCGATCGATTTCAAATTTGGGTAATGTAATCAACATAACTATATCAACAAATTGGCATTCAACGATTAAAATATAGCAATATGTTTTTTACTTGCCATATACTTATCAAATATCAAATAGTTGGGGACATCACATACACACACTCACACATGCATACAACAAGCAACAGTTCGTGTCTATGTGTGTCCATGCATACATACATATGTACATGCATATGTATGTATGCTTGTATATGTATGTAGCATGTACATACAAAACAACAACAACAACTGCAAGTCATTGGCTCGCTCTTCTTCTTTCGTTGTGACCATTTAATGTTAATTGCAAAGGCAAAACGCCAAAAGTTAACAGTTACCGTCGCTAGGCAACGACAGCGTAAGCGATAGTAAAGCAGAAACCGAATAACGGAGCTACGCATATTCTGCTTCGCATTGCGGGCAGATGTATGTATGTATATGATTTGTTCTTATTGATCTCAATAAATAATTAGATTTTATTATTTAAATATTCTGCTTATTGCATTCATACTTTGATATTTTGATGGTATTGGTGGCTTCAACTATCGAAAGTTTTACTCTAGCAAATTGAGATGAGAATTGTCAGTGCTTTTTGATCGTGGCTCATCACTGCACGGCATTGACACGAGTGCCGTGTTTCATATTCCGAGTTTGTGCGTGACCGTATTGACTCAATATGGCACATAGTCTATCTTAAAACGTTGCATTATCTCTATATATAAAACAGTTTGTCCTGACTAATTGGTGATCAACGCACAGCCCAAACGGTAAAAGATGAAATTTGGACTCAAGTATCCTTTCATAGTATCCATCATAGTGTAGGAGCACACTAAGGAAGGCTTTTGGAAAATTCTAGCTCCAAAGGGGGGAAAACGAGCCTTAAAAAATATTAGTTATAGTGGTCATGTTCGTTTAACGAAATAGTTTGGCAAGAACAAAAATATAACGGACTACTGAACAATTTTTTGTCAAGAACAAAAAATGTTTATTTAAATACCTTAAATGCCTTCCTACTGGTAAATTATAAGGTGAAAACATATGGATAGGTTATGCACACACAAAATAAATACAATTGGAAACATTATATTGAGCCGGGTTAAGACGGGCAATACCTGCTAGTGTACATATATGTAAGTATTTTATTGTTGAAAAAACAGGGGAATTGGAGCGCATATCCAAAAAAAAAATGTTTATGTTGTCCACATTTGTATAAAATAAATTAATATTTTACGGAAAAGTAATATTATGTACATATATCTGTCCTTAAAATTGGACTATCATATACACATGTATATAATCGGTTTTTCAAACAAACTTTGGAGCTTGTTCCCCCCCCCCCCCACCAAGAAAAAACCAGTGCAGTTTTTCTTGGAATTTTTCTGAGAGCATACAAACTAAGTTTGAAGTTAATCAGATGTAGATTTTTGATACAAACGTTGGAGCCTGTTTTTGGCCCCCCTTTGGAACTCGAATTTGTGCGTTGATCACCAATCAATCAGGACAAACTGTTTTTTATATATAGAAGTTATTTACCATAGTAAATAAACGTATAATTGTAAGAAAATACTGAGCCAGCAAAGACGGGCAAGACCTGATAGAAGATTATTATACGAATGTCGTTCTCTTAGGTTTATCTATAAATTTTCAACATGATGAAATGGAAGCATGTATATACATATGTACATATATACATATGTATATACATATATACATCAGTATAGATTCCGAAACCAATTTTGATCAAATTTTGTACATAATCATTATTTTATGTGTTTCATTATGCTGTGTATTCATGTACACGTGTTTACATAGGAATTGTGTCTATGTAAGTCTATGCGTGTCTGGCAGAGAGACATGGCTAGATCGACTCGTCTTGTCATGCAGTTATACACCCTTTTCATATAATCGATAAAAGAAATTATTTTGTAATATTACACACATATTCGACACTAGCATTTTTAATTTTATAATATATAATTATTCTATACGTACAGAGTATTCCAAAGTGGGGGCATCCGATTTTTTATATTTTTTTGTTCAAAAATAATGATTATTCGCATAGTTGTAAGGTATAACTTAAAATTTATCTTTAAATTGTAAGAATTAGTAAAAATTAAAATTAAAAAATTAAATTAAAATTAAAATTAAATCATGCTGAAAATTTATAGATATACCTAAAAGAACGATATTCGTATAATAAAATGTATATACATAGTTTGGGTAAAACATGTAAAAAAGCTAAAGTCGGGTGTCCCGACTTTGAAATACTCTGTACATATTACAATAATTATAGAAATTAAAAAAAGTAAGAGAAAGAGAGAAACAAAATTTGTTGATCGATTTTACCTCATGTGATATTCGAACTTACATAGCAATTGCGTCTATGTGAGTGAATGTATGTTTATGCGCGTCTATTCGTGTCTGTGTAAGCATGTTCGCAGTCAACCAAAGCATCAGCATAACAACAGCTGCGGGCAGCGCTTGGGCAGCAAATATATTTATGGCTATAACTTCCTGTTAAATCGGTCTATCATGATGAAACTTGGCATACGGACACATAATTACTAATTACCATTCCCGAATTTGAGTTCGAAATTCCAAGAATTACGGGAGTTAGAGAAAATCACGATTTGCATGGGAGAGGGGGAGGGAAGGAAATTCCAAAATACACATTTTCTGCGTATTCATATAAGGCATCTGGGACTAAAATTTGGTGTCCCTAGGTCTCCGAGGTATAGGCGATTATACGAATGGAAAATCGGGAAAACCCCCATAGGGGGGAAGTGAGGGGGGGAATCAAAAAAATAAAACAAACTTGCACAGCGTACACACGTAAGGCACTTTGTGCAAAGTTTGGTGTCTCTACATCTTATAGTCTCTGAGATCCAGGTGTTCATACGGACAGACGGGCAGACGGACAGATAGGGCTAGATCGACTCGTCTCGTCATGCTGATCAAGAATATGTATACTTTGTGTGTCTGTCACGCCTCCTTCTGCCTGTTACATTTTCAGCTCCCGCAATCCTAATATACTCTTGTACATTTTATGTACAGAGTATAAAAATCATCTTACTAGAATAAGTTTTTTATTCTCTATACCCGATATTGATATTAATGGCGAAACGAATTCATATTTTCAAGTTGTCTATCCGTCCGACTGGATGAACGCCAGGATTGCAGAAACAGCTGAGCCCACAGTGACCTAACTTCCCACAGTGACGAATCTTCAAAAACTTAATTTTGCATAAAATATTTCTAAATCTTTACATCTGTTTAGAATTTTGCCCTAAACGGTCAATCTTGAGAAAACCTTTTACAATATAACTTTATGCCTGCATGCTTATAACACAGTAGAGTGTTTTTTGTTGGGTACAGGATATTTCGCTGTCGGGTATTTATTAAGTTATTATTACTTTTATAATTTTGAAGTATATTAGTATGTATACGCGTTAAACACACAAATGTTGTACCCCTGAATGCATTTACTAAAGTATATATATTTTTATTCTCCTAGTATTCCTCTCATTTTATCTTCCCAGATCAAGTGAGACCCGAATGTTGGGAGACCGCCGAGAATCTATTTTAATTTCAGATGGTTTAGTTAGTTTGCTGCTCTCAGTTTGTTCGGTTGTGATTGTTCTGCTCTTGCCCAAGAAAAGCAAAGTATATACATATATATATATATATATATATATATATATATATTTTATATACATATACATATTTATATGTATGTATGTATATACTTAAGAAGAAATATCTCAATATATATGTATATACACATGTAAATACATTTGCAAAAATATATGTGTGTATGTACACGCTGTATACAAGTTTCAATCCGGTTTTAGTGGTCCGAAAATTTAAAGCATTATGTATATATGTACATACATGTGTTCATGCTTAAGCTGCCCATGGATTGTTTGTTATTGTTAATTTTTGATCTATGTATATGTATTAATGTGTCTATGTGTATGTTCGAATATTCAATAAAAAATTTGCATAACACAATAGCCGAAATATGAATCATTTTGTTTTTCGATCCGATTGATCTTAATATCTGATATTTATGGGCATTGGAAAACAGTTCAAAATCTGTATAATAATCAATTTGGCCAGTGTCTGTTATAATTCTTAAAAATGAGGAAATTCGACGTTAATATTGAAGGTAAGTCTACAAGTTTGGAATCCCACTTCACTGTGTATTAATATGCAGTTCGTTGTCCATTCGTTCTTTTACTTTGTTCGATCTTTTAGTTTATACATGTATACATACATATGTACGAGGGCAGTCCGAAATGTTAGGAGTTAGCGGAGAGAACATACATACTACTATTAACTTATGTAAAATTACCAAGGATTATGGAGAAGATATGCTGTTTTGATTTGTGTGAAAATTATTGTTGACTTATGCATGTGCAATTAGAGAATAGGAGATGGCGCATTCGATTGAATGTGAGTAAAAGCGGCATCTAATGTGCCGATAGCATTCTCATGCCCAATTCATAGTTTAAAATATAGCAAACGCGGTCTTTCAACATCTTGGTGATCTCAGCTATCCTTCTACGGATATGTACTCAAGCGGTCGTCCAGAACCATTTAGTGAATTTTAACGATGTTTTCGTCAGTGGTTACAGGTTTTGGGCGCCTCGGAAGTCTCCTATAAGCTCAGAATTAAGCTCGTACATGTAAGTTTCAATTTAGCAGTTGAGAACTTAACAGTTGCAAATACATAATTGGGAAGAGTCCCCATACACATCGTTCATCTCATTTTACTATGACAGAAACACACACAATCCATCGATGCTATCGATCATTCTATCGAAGTTTAAATGCAATAAAAAGAATTAAAGAATAACATTATAATTAATTTAACGCCACAATCATAAGCATCAGAGCGTTATCCATCCTAATTTATTCAGAACAAATATATTTGTGCACGCTAGTACAAACTTCCAAAGCGTATTCTGTTGTAAAGGCCTTTTTTATAGCCTGTATCGAAGGGGTAAAAGGCTATACTAGTTTTGTGCGAATGCATGTAACACACAGAAGGAGGCGTGGCAGACCCCACAAAGTATATATATTATTGATCAGGATGACAAGACAAGTCGATATAGCCATGCCCGTCTGTCCGTATGAGCGCAAGTATCTCAGGAAGTACAAGAGCTAGAATAACCAATCTTGGTATCGAGGTTCCCCTAAGTCCGAGGCAAGTCAAGTTTTTTTTTTTATTCTGGTACACCCCCCACTCTCCCGAAATTCTTGAAATTTTGAAATCAATCTTGGTAGTTACATCCAGTTAGTGCTTATGTGTCCGTGTGCCAAGTTTCATCATGATGGATCAATTCTGAAGAAAGTTATAGCCATAAGTACAATCGCTGCTCATGCGCTGCCTGCACCGCTGCCCACAGCTGTTTTTGTTGTTGCTTTGGTTCAACTTTGTGCTGCATACATACACGCATATAAACACGCATAGACACGACGATGTAAATGTATGCTGTAAAAACTGTACATAAACATGTCTTCTGTGTATGTATTAAATAAATGTTCTTTATAAATTTAATTAATTAATTCAATTTGTATAGCCTGTACCCAAAGGGTGAAAGGCTATACTAGTTTTGTGCGAATGAATGTAACACACAGAAGCAGGCGTGGCAGACCCCACAAAGTATATATATTATTGATCAGGATGACAAGACAAGTCGATATAGCCATGTCCGTCTGTCTGTATGAGCGCAAGTATCTCATTAAGTACAAGAGCTAGAATGACCAAAATTGGTATCGAGGTTCCCCTAAGTCCTAAGCAAGTCAAGTTTATTTTTTTATTCTGATACATCCCCCCCACTCCCCCGAAATTCGTGTTTTTTTTATAAATACCGTAATTCTTGGAATTTTTAAATCAATTTTGGTAGTTACATCCAGTTAGTGCTTATGTGTCCCTGTGCCAAGTTTCATCGTGATGGGTCAATTCTGAAGAAAGTTATAGCCATAAATAAAATCGCTGCCCATGCTCTGCCTGCCAGCTCTGCTCGCAGCTGTTGTTGTTGTTGCTGCTTTGGTTCAACTTTGTACTGCATACATACACGCATATAAACACGCATATAAACACGCATAGACACGTGATGTAAATGTATGTTGTTAAAACTGAACATAAACATGTCTTCTATGTATATATTAAATACATTTTCTTTATTAATTTCATTAATTAATTTAATTTTTTTTAATAATTTAATTTTTTTTAATTTTTATACCCTGTACCCAAAGGGTACAAGGGTATATTAGTTTTGTGCGAGTGCACATGGAACACACAGAAGGAGGCTTGGTAGACCCCACAAAGTATATATATTCTTGATCAGCATGATAAGCCGAAACGATATAACCATGTCCGTCTGTCCGTCTGTCTGTATGAACGCAAGGATCTCTATAAGAGCTAGAATAACCAAACTTGGTATACAGATTCTCCTGAGCCCGAGAAAGGACGAGTTTGTTCATTTTTTCTGAACCACCCCCCCACTCCCACCCTATTAACGATTTTCTATAACTCCCGTAATTCTTAGGTTGATCAGAAAGAAAGTTATAGCCATATAACCAGGCCCAATGCACACATACATACATATGTACAAGTACACAAACACGCATAAGGCACGATTCTGATGTAAATGTAAATGTATGTATGCATGCATGGAATATTTAATTTAGTTAATTAATTAAATTAATTTAGTTAATTAATTTAATTAAATTAATTAATTAATTTAATTTCTTTTTTGTGGGGTGGTACAGGGTATTTGAGAGTTGAGCCTTCTCGACTTTAGCATTCCTTTCTTGTTCTTTTTTGTGGAGAGTACAGGCTATTTTACTGTCGGGCTTGCTCGACTGTAGCGTTCCCTCTTGTTCATTCATGAATCCGAAATAGTACCGAGTCAAATATTCACTCAGAACCTTTTAAAAACGTTTATTGTTTCTTAAAAAAAAAAGAAGAAGGAAAACACACATTTGATTCAAGATTTTAATACAAAACTTTAATCACTGAAACATTGTAATGCAAATAAGTATTAATACTACGCGCAGGTGCACGTACATATTTCGGTGGGAGGGACTTTTAAAACAGTTTTACTAACATGCTTTTGAGAAATTTGTCCACTTTTATCGACTTCTAGAAATATTATATTAATGTCAAATTAATATTAATAAATTAAAATTTCATTCATGGCCCGACTAGAAACATTTTAGATTTCCTTTGTATGTATGTATTTAGGAACATATGTACATGAAATGAACAGGAGTATATTAGGTGTGCGCGAGCTGAAAAACGTAACAGGCAGAACGGTGCGTGGCGAACACACAAAGTATATATATATTCCTGATCAGCATGACAAGCCGAGTACGTACGTTTTTACAGCATGGGCTAATTTTAAAGGAAGGTTTAACACTATATGTAATCTCAGGCCAAGCACTGCCCGCAACTGTTGTTGCTGCTGCTTTGGTTCAACTTTCTACTGCATACATGCTCACACACACCGTGTAATCAAAAACCGAGAATGGTAAAATCGATGAACATTTTTTTTTTATTTTCTTAATTTTTAAAGTTTCTATACTTTTTGTACCTATATGTACAGAGTATTTCAAAGTCGAGACACCCGACTTTAGCTTCTCAACTTATTTTGCTCTCAAGATATGCCATAAACGGTAGATTATGCCATACTGATCAAGAATATATATACGTTGGGGTATCGCCTCCTGTGTGTTACATTTATACGCACTAAAGTGTTATCCCTTTTTTTTACACTTTGCATATAGTATTAAGAATGAAACTCATGGACTTATATTAAAGCAACCCGACACTATAAAAATACAAAAAAGTGTCAGCTGTCTTGTACATCTTGAGATTACAGATGAGTAGAATCTTATTATTAGTAGCTAAGCGATCGTTGGCGCGCCTAATCAGGTCAAAATGAAGCCATATGATCATCTAACTCAGATGAGTAGAATCTTATTATTGGTAGCTAAACGATCGTTGGCCCGCCTAATCAGGTCAAAATGAAGCCACCTGATCATCTAACTCATATGTAAGGAACGTTTTTTAGGCAGCTTACAAATGAGCTGAATTATTCGAATTACCTGCACACTACATTACCGTTGCCCACATGCACGGTTTTTACGGGTTTTTTTTACGTTTACGTTTATCGCTCAAGCACTTCTCCATCAACTAACAAAGGATTAAGATTCATAACGATTGACATTTCACCGTGACGACAGCGCCACAAGCAGCGAGGAACTCATCTGCCAAAACAATATTACAACTAGAAACGGCCAAAAGAAATACTAGTATGGTGCTTGGCTTGGCTACATGAAGAATGTAAAATTGGCGAAACTATCTATATTCATAATCGATTAATTATGCTCACTTCACCATAAACACTAGTTTCGGAAGGATCCAACCACACAATTTTCTATCATTTAATTAGGAGGCACGGCCAAACATAATTAAACACGCTTTAGGCCTCAACCCTTATGCGTTGTCCACCAATTGCTTCTAGAAGGTAATTTCTCGAACTTGCAGTAACAAATATCGAATTGAAGGTAACTGGTTCAGTTCCTCTATTGTTGCTTTGTGAGATTAATAGTTGGGCTCGTTCGACTTTAGGCTTCTTTACGTATTTTGGCTGATTAGTGCAACTGATATAAACTGCGGAGGGTTGCATTGTCAATTTGAACTTCGCCTATTTATACTCTGCACATAAAATGTACAGGAATATGTATATTATATGTATCGAAGAAAGAAACCTCGGGACACCAAATTTAAGTCTCAGGTTTCTGTTATGAATACACAGACAATGTGTATTTCCGAATTTTTCCTCCTCCTCCAACTCCTGCGCAATTAGTGATTTTGAAAGGAAGTTGATCAACCAGATCATACAATATTGCCGGTAGGCAAAAGTAAAGGGTTCCCTCGTTGTAACTAAGGTTGTATGTATATAAGTACGTTATGTACTTATACACAGCGAACGCAGTAGCTTGCACTAAAACACACAGGAGCAAAGGATAGACCGAACAAATCGATTTTCAATTTTCGAGCGTTTATTGCTAGCCGTGTAAGGCTTAGCATTAGCATAACAAATGTTGTGGATCTTATGTTAACAGTGAAAGCAAGAGAATATAAACAGCTGT